TGATCGAGGTCGGGACTGGCCCAGGGGAAGGGAGGGGGCGTTTAGCCATAGGCCTGCTCTTAATCAGGGTGGGAGAGTCTGATCGGGGGCAGGTAGGCAGTGGGGAGGGGCCGTGGGAGGAGCTGCAAGGTTGGCCAGGGGGTCCCATCCCCTGATTGGGCCAGTTAGCTGGCCACAGTGAGCATCATAGCAACCGGTTGTTATGGTCATTATGATCATTATGGTCGCTGGCTTTTTATATATACTGTATAGATAATTACAGTTCAGTTGCATGCCCACTCCAAATTACCATCAAATACACTCTGCTGTGCTCTTTGGCTGATACAAAAAGGAGGCAAACATAGAGCCTGATATCAGTTCTAAATTGTACAAATGCCTTTCTCCCCCACAGGATCCTCATTCTGTGTAAACATTTAGTCATTCTGCAGGAATCCCAGGCTTGACTCTCCTACTCTTAGATGATTTCATCTATTTCTATAACTTCACTTATCAACTCTGATCCAGGCTTTGTCTTACCTCTCATTCTGCTATTCATTTGGATATCTCTTGAAAACATGCCCAAAAGGATCAGAGCCGTGTTCCCTATTTTCATTAAAGGCTCAACCTTATTTTTTTTTTCAGCAGCTCAAGGTTAAAACCTAGAACTCATCCTCTTACTTACAACTTTCATACAAATTGCCACCTTCTGTTGTTTCCCTTTCCACATTGCCTTGGCTTCTAACTCCTTTATCTATATGTTCCCTGTTTGTTTAGCTTGCTCTAAATTCATTAGAGCTCTTTAGATTCTTCAGAGCTGCCTAATTAAACTCCTGATCTCACCACCCTTTTCTGCTCCCTTACTTGTCTCTATCCAATCTTATTTCAAGGCAAACTCTCATCATTGCTTCACGTAGAGCTGTTGTCATCTATCATCTATGTATCTATGTGTCTACCATCTATCATCTGTCTACTTATCTATTTATCTGAATAATGTCACAAATACCCCTAGGACCACCATGCAATATTTAGTAATAACTTACATCTAACTACATTGTAGACTTTTATTTGCATTTAATGGTATAAACATACATATCGATTCTTATGGTTATTGTACAGAATACAGTATGGAGGTCAAATTCTTTTGTCTGAATTAAAGCAGAAATAATGTCAGACTGACAGAGCAGGTTTGTGGTAAGGAATTCTTCTAAAAGTTTGCATCCTCAGCTCTTCTTGTATAACATCCTCGTGGCAGTTAATATTTTACTATGGGAAATATTTGAAATATCTCATACCATTTGGGTTTTTTGTTTACCCACGACAGGAAAATTAATCTTGTTATATTCATTATTTAAACATAATATTGCATTTGTTTATTAATTCAATACAAATTAATCAACTAATGACTATATGTCAGCATTAAGTGCTGAAGCTACAGCAGAACAAAACCGAGCCCCAATCCTCCTCTTCCCCTGGGGAGAGACAGACCAGAAATTCACGTAATATTTTCATTGGCCAACTTTGAAAATTCCCTAAATGAAATATCTTCATTCTCTCCATAATTTGGTCATTCATTCACACAGATTCATATGCATTTGTAATCAAATTCTCTTTGGTTAAAAAAAAAGGATAATTGGTCTAGTTCTCATCCTTAGTATTTTAGAGGCATAGAAAGCATTAAAAGATGAATAACACCGTCTTCTAACATTTATGGACAATTCTTGGCAATGTGAATGAGCTATAAGAGATAATTTTATATTTTTACTGGCAGATTAAAATAGTAGAAAATAAAACAAAATGCATACTGTTCCAAGACACAGTCAATCTACCCCTTCAAAATGTTGTCCTGTTTGGGAATATGATATTTAAGGACAATCATTTATATCTTATTCATATTTTGAGAAAAATTTTATAATTTTCTCATGAACAGAATCAAATCATAGGTAGTGGAATTTCTTAGCAGTTACTTAGTGACCTGCTGGGTTAACTACCTATTTGGGGATTATCACCTACATAACCGGGGCTGGCCGTCCAGAATTAAAGCTCCTCTTTACATTCTGGAGAAGCAAGGCCACCTAATTCTCAATACTTCTCTTTTTCCTTCACTTATTTGGCACCCTGATTTTTTTCAGTGTAGCTTTATTTAATTTTATAAGTAATTAAATCAACACTTTATTACATGAATTGAATTAGAATATTTATTACTTTTGAATGCAATAACTATTGAGTCTCATTTGAGGGAGAGTCGTCTGCTCTTTAGAAACAGTCTAGTTTGCTTCACAATACAGCAAGAACAAGAATGCTTCCCCAGGTCAGTGTATTTAAAGATTTCCTGGATGGGTAAGTAACATCTAGAATTATTATGCCTTGTCATTGGCACATTACATTTCAGAGGCTGATATTTTTTCATTTGTTCATCCCACTTTCTGCCGAGAATTATTGGATATAGTTTCTATGACCAAGATTATGAAAGGTAGAGTGATGTATTAAGACCTGCTCTCAGAAAGTGGTAAGCCAACTGGAGATGGTTAAACATAATAGCCCAATAAACATTGGCCATTTTGAATGGTTTATATCCTTCAAATAAAGAACGATCACTGTACTCACATCCTGAGAGTGGCAGGCAGATGTTACTAAATGTGCACGTGGAAGCTGAGCTCCATGCCTCTTCTACTTTACTCTGAGAGACAAGACAGTAGCTGGGACATGAACCCAATATTCCAGTGCTGTAACTGCCAAAGGACAACAGTGTGTTCAAGGTGACAATGTCAATAAGATGAATTGTGAATTGTTACGAATATTGGAAAAGAATAATCTTCGGCTGGAAAGAGCAAAGGTGGCTTCCTGAAGAGTGAGGACATTGGGGATGGGTTGTCAAGTGCATTTTAATTGGTGACTACAGTGTCCAATACGACCTCACATCGGTTACATGGAGATTCTCTTGCTGACGAGTTTCCCCAGGGCAGCCTTCATGTCTCGATTTCTCAGACTGTAGATGAAAGGATTTAACATTGGAGTCACTGCCATGTACATCACAGTTACCACAGCATCCTTTAGACTGTAGCTAGACAGAGGGCGGAAGTACATGCCCATGACTGTCCCATAATACAAAGAAACAACAGTGAGGTGGGAACCACAGGTGGAGAAGGCTTTGCGCACACCCTTGGTGGATGGAACGTGCACTAGTAAGACTGTGGAAAAGACCCAAACATAGGAGATGATGATGCACAGCAATGGCACAGAGAAAACACCAACCCCAAGGTACATCATCGTCACATTGAAGTGAATGTCAGAGCAGGACAGCTTGAGCAAAGGGGTAATGTCACAGTAGAAGTT